GGCACCACGTTCATTTGCTCTCTGTCAGGGTCTCAGCAGCCACAAAAAGCTGAGAATGGACTAACCCAAAATGGACAAAACGGAGTTTCACCTGGACAAAGACACCCTGAGAGGACGGAGCGCTGCGTCATGCGTAACGCTCCAAAAAAATTGCGCCTTTCAATGTGCCTTTTTTTAAATTTGGCTATTTACACTCATGTGCGTGAGTTCCTTTWAAAAATGATTTTATATTGATGATAAAAGGCACACGTATAGTGCCGTTAATGTGGATTAAACGTGAGTTTTTTTGCCTCCAGCGGTGGCATTTCATTAGACTGAGGAGGTGCGTCAGAGAGGAGGGAGGATGAGGGAATCAGCTCTTTGTGCTCCTCGTTTTGTTTTGCTTCTTTCCCCTCAGTGTGGAACTAAAGCTCCCACTGAAAGTCTGCTCGTGACCCCCTTTTGTTTCTGCCTTTGAATCTTTTTGTTTCAGTTTTGAACGCAAGCACACAACGAAAACTTAAAAACACAAAAACCGAAAGAAAAAAACCCCGTTGATTTGGAAACATTTTTCAATTGCAATATTTTTTTCTGCAAACATTTTTAGCTAAATATAATGATTTGAGTAATTTAAGATTTATGGTTTTGTTTAATAAAATGAAGCGTTATTAAACACAATCTGAGCTAATTAATGTGTTTACATTTGAGAGGCGTTCAGAAGAAATTAAAATATTTTTGGATTGTTTTAAATGGTTTAAAAACTCACATTGAGCACAAAGTTTCACCAGATGGTTTATGAGTGATTTTATTACCTAAGGTGAACAGAATTACCTGGATTAAGCTACCATAAAAGCATCATTTCATCCTTTATTCCATCAGATTTTGGGTCATTTCTAAAATCGATTTTATATTTATCAAGTCAAAAAATATTTGAAGATTTTTTTTAATTTAAACTGAAAAAAAAAACGAAAAAAATAATAATTTCTGGATTTCGCGACTTCAGATGGCCTCACCTTCCATCACATCAACCAGACATCAAATGTGTCACCAGATTTCGATTTTATTCCCTATTTTTTTTTCCTGCGTCAAAAACAATAAAAACAACAGCTCTGTGTTCTGATCGCCCTGAGACGGAACAGCGTCAGAAAAAAAGGGGGTCTTACCTGAGGCTGTGCAGCGCGCGGAGCAGGAGAGGCTGCGGTGTGTGCGCGCGGAGAGGAGCGGAGCGGAGCAGACARGGAGGCTGCTGCCGGTGGATGGAGGGGAGGGCTGCTCCTCTGTTCCTCGTAGCTCTCCCGTTCCAGCGTCAATTAAAACACAACACATTTAAATATTCCTCTCTCCAAAGGCAGACAGCCCCTCAGCTCAGCACAGCGA